TGTGAAGCACGTCAATTCTCTCCTGGGGAGCGTCTTCGTGAGCCTCTTATGGTTTCAGGATAGTTCAAATCCTATGATGTTCCGATTCAATGCTCACCGATGATCTGAGCCATGGGGCAAGTTTGTTTTCCTAAGAATCTTTTTGAACATTTCGAGAGCACATGTTTGAACATTTAAAGTGCATATGAACATATATGTACGAAAGGTCGCCTCCGAGGGGATAAATCACCATGTCGAACATTGCATTTTTGTTCCTGCCTCTCGCGTTCTCTTCTCTTCCCGCTGTCCTACCTTTCGTCTCTCCCTCCTCTCAAGTAAGGACATCCGACTCGGATGGTCCTGGACCTTGAAAACCTGGGGGGCGCATTTCCACGTGCAAACCTCCCACTGTCGCACAGTGCCTGACTCCTGACCAAGGCTTTTAAAATCGAGCTCCACAGCAAGAGTCCTGGCGGTACCCACCTGGAGGGTGGTGCCTGGCACGACGGTTTCCAATCAGACAACCATCCAGTAGAAGTTCACACTGGTGTGTTCCAACCATGTTTTGGCCACAACTCATTCAACTCATTTGGCAAATGTTTTGCCGTGGAAGGTCTCTTTGCATGGATCCCCGCAAACTGATAGAGGAAGACGTCCACGTTGACCATTTAGGGTCCACGTTGGTTTGGTTGGGGAATGCAGCTAGGATAGGTGTAGACGCGTGGAGGCTCTTGCAGGCTCCTGATTCCTTTTCGATATTTTATTCACGCGGAAAAGATACCACCTGTTGTATTTCTTAGTGGAAAACCACCTGTTTGTAGAGGACGGTCGTCATCCAAGGGGCCATGCCATCCACTTCCATGATTATTTCAGGGAATGCCGTTGCATTTGTGCTGTTTTAATATAGACATGGTTTATATTCATGTAGATAGGTGACGCACCCACACACACAATGATTAATCAGTACTGAGTACTGGTGAAGTTGTTTTGGAGGAAGGACATCAATGTATCTAAACAAATCCCTATAAAGACATCTCTACCTGGTACTAGACTGGTTCCAGGGACTTATTTGAGACGAAAAATAATCCCAATGCATTAGAGATTGGGGTGTTCCAGGTAGCATCGGGAGTTTTTCCATTGAGGATTGAAGAGCAGTTGTTGCGTATGGGAACAGCGGACGGCCTGGCAGCGTGGTTGCGGGAGGAGTGCAAGCCGGCTTTCCACCATGAGGCCAGCATGACGGGGGATGAGGCATGGTGTGTCTTTCAAGACCATGCCTATCATCATGGCCTGATAGGCCATAGGGACTGCCTGGGGGTAAAAACACGCTCAGAAGATGTGAGAATCATGTCAGGCTCACGGCTTGAAGATCTTAACCTTCCCAGACGCTCCATGTATGCCATATATGCCTACATTGGAGTGGTTTTGGGGGTCAATGTGGGCATATATGGCATACATAGAGTGTCTGGGCTTTGTGAGCCTCAACATTTGGAAAGCCGGGTTCAGATCGACCGCCATGTTTGGCTGAACACCACTGTTAGTAACACGCCCCATGTGAACTAGCGCCTTGTAAACGCTACTGCGAGAACGCACCCAGTGTTGCCACACCTTCTGACCCAGTTCCACCCATTCAGTGGGATGTTTCAGCCGGCAGTGCTGGAGAGGGAGCTGAGGAAATCCCACCACATTTGCCACCACGTCACACTTGTACACCTTGTGGCCAACTGGAAACCTTATGCCAACCCATCCACCTTCCACTTCCAGTCCCACGCGAGGTATTCAGTGACCTGAAAAACCGGACCGTACTATCAAGCACTGCTGTACCCAACTGGGATAGTCGAACAGTCTTGTTCTTCAACCTTTGTTGGTTCCCCGGCTTCTTGCATCTTGCATCTAAGGTTTGCATCAAGATACAGTAGATCCAAGCAGAAATCCTGTACCCAACCAGAAAAAAAGCCATGGGGAATGCCACATCATTCCACTCCTTACACCACTGCACAACCGGTGTTCAAACCGTCCAGGTGGTGGTCGCCGCTTGTTTGAGCTCCTTCGACGGGCGACCCCATCCCGATGCCTATTGGACCAGCTGCTTCGACCCTTCGGACCTGCGCACGGAGACGCTCGGCGTGAGACGACGCGTCGTGAGACGCGACCGCGGTGGTGAGACGTTGACACATAGAAAGAGGGAGAGTTCAAGGCGAACAGATAGAAGAACTGACTCGAAAATCGTTGAACCAAGGGAGAATGAACATGTTATGTATGGTATGCCACACACACATATAGATATAATATGATATAATTCTTTGAACTTTGGACTTTTTGTCGTCAGCGAAACTAGAGTCAGTGAATTGGGCCACAACACGGGATCAAGGACCATCTCGTCCTCCTTTGCTCTTCGTATCACGCGCGCGCCTTCCTCGCGCGTTACGCGGCGCGTGATCGCGCACGTTCCTCAGGGTGCACCGACCGTTCCGTGCTCTGAGGAAGTGTCGGATGATCCTGGATGCCTTGGTGCAGCTCTCCACCTCCGAACACCTCTTGAGCGAGACGGACCGTCCGAGTCAAGTCGGTAGGCTTGTCCCAACGGGGTGAAAATAGGGGTGTTTATGTGTTTTTTTTGTGTTTTTTATTGTTTTTTGGGGGGTGACAGGTACAGAGTTGATTTGTTTGGCGTTCTTTATGGCGTGAGGTGAAAGTGTTCCCAGGTCGTGGGGTTCTTGGAGGGGTTTGGCCAAGGTGTGGGTGTGATGAGTGGGGGAGGAAGGAGCACTCCAAAGCCAGGACATCACATGGTTTCTGGTTTCGTGGAGTGGACACCACCTGTTTGGTCTTCATGGGCCATCCAAGGTTGACTGTGCAATCATGTGCCATCCACTTCCATGATGGATGGGGCAGTGAATGGGGCCTCTTTGGTTGAAAGAACAGCTCCGATGTTGAGCGCTTGGAGGACATTCAAATCGGTTTCTCCAGGGTCTTGGGCATCGTCACCAGCGAAGCTTGGCGGCCAAGCTTTGGAGTGTGTCTCTCATGAGGCAACGCCGTGGGCCAATTACCAAGCTATATAACGCATTTTATATTTTGTAAATCTTTATAATGGATTAATGGATCATTGTCATACATTGTATTATATAAATATAAACACGCACGTGTATTACATATATATATATATATGTGTATATACACACACATACACACAAGTCTTAATCACAATCTAGAACCCATTTGATGTATGGGTTTCTTGATCAAGGCCGAGTGCCTTGGCTCCAAAAACAGGCTCCCTTAGGTTCTATGTATATCTAGTGTTGGTTAAGAGTTTGACTACCCCGGCTGCTGGTAGATACACCCTCGTTTCATTGCGTCCTAGGGCCCTACGCCCTTTGGAAGTTGGAAGATCTCCTCAGGTTCAGATGGAATCTCCCCTCTGCCAATGCGCATGGATTGGTTTGCTCGATGGGTTAACTTATGATCACTATGGTGACAAAATGATGCAGGAGCAGAGCAAGCTTTTAACTGGAATTCACTTTTTTGGAGGAAAGGGGGGGACGTCTTGCATATGTTTGGTCCCAATCCCATGAGCAATGGGTCGGTGCTTTTGTATATTGTGGCGGTTGCTGCCGGTATATTTTTGCAGTGGAGGTGGTTGGTTTTTGCTCAGGAGGGGTGGAAAAGAGTTTCTCTTTGCTGAGAAGTCTATGTCACATGAGTATATATTTAAATCCTGCCGGCCATAATGGACAAATTGGATTTCTGTGGGATTCCTTGGTTCCATATCCATTGATGGATTCACTATTCCTTGGGGTAGGTCTGCAATTTCTTGACATTATGAAATGCTCTTTGAGCTACCTACCATTTAGAAATTGCGGTTGTAAACAGGCCGTCTTACAGTGAAAAGCAACATCTCCAGAAGACAAATTTGGGCGTGGCAAATGGACTTTCCCAGTCTCCCAGTAGGTGTTCTGTGGATCTTCCTGGCGAAACAACTCTATGTATTAGTAAGCAACACCAGCTCTCCCAATCAAACGTTCGGTTAGAATGCTCTAGACCACCGAGCAAGGAGATGGAGGTGAAGGAGACACGCAGCGAGTTCCCACATCTGGTGGCCCTCCTTCGTGGAGCCGTGGAAAAGGACCATGAGAACGAGAGCGCCCACGGCATTGGACTTTTCTGGAAGATTAAAATCTCATTTGAATACTTAAAGGTAGTTAAGATGTGAGGTGAGTCAGCAGACTTGTTTGATGGGGACAGAGCTGCTTCTTAAAGGTAGTGATCCATTATCCAAGGGTATGCGTGTGTGTGTGTGTGTGACCCCTTTTTTTGGGGGGGACCGCGAGCACACAGGCACCAGTAACCCTTGTTCCAAGGACGTGTGCAACTGATATGGGTTGTAGAGGAGGATGGTCGAAACCACACATCAAGTCTCAGGGTCTATGGGATTGTGGGTGATGTGGGGGATCACCCAACAACTCCGGCCGGTCACCAGCGTCGTGTCAGCGTCGTGCCACGTGTTGATGGATCACAGTTCCATGTAGTGGATGGTTTCTAGACCTATCCAGTGAGTGGATGTTCGGGGCTGCCCATTATATACCATGAAGATCCATCAAGCAGCTAGACCTGGATCTTGGAGATCAATATGTCGACATCTCCCATGAGTATTGTTGGGTTCCCAGACGCGGCCCACAGGACTGGCCATATGTGGCCCACAGTCGGGGGGTTCGCCCGAACGAACGACTTGGCGAGGGAAAAAACGTGGCGTCGTGGCGTACCTCCTTCGGTTCGGTACGACTGGAATCGATGGGTTTTATGGTTTTTACATGGTGGTCCCAGGTGCCTCGGACACGTTTTTGGAGGTGCGGACATGTTAGAACAAACGCACCCTAGACGGGACCGGTCGTCGTCACCGGTGGCGCGTGTGGCATCGGACGTGGTGGAGCGATCCCCCTCCCGCAGAGGTGGATGGAACGAGCTCTTGGTATTTGGGGGGGTGAGGGAGACATATTGAAGACCATCATCCAGAATCAAGAGTATAATAGAGTATATGCTTTTGACCCGGCGTCATTCACTGAAAGAGGCACTCTGCTTGAGGCGTCAGGCGTCATGATTCTACGTGGTTGGATCCTTCCCTGATACAAGGTCGCATGTCCACTGCAGATGGAAGATGGGAACATCCGAAGCCCCAAGCTTCCAGTTCTTCCCCTTCAAAGCCATCACCCCAAACTCTTCAAGACTCAAGACCAACACCTCCGGCACCTCAGCACCTCCCCCTCTCCGGCACCTCGTCACCTCCCCCCTTCGAGTCACCGGCCGGCCGAAGCCCCAGGAGCTCCTGGCGGCACAGTTCCTGAAGCTCGCGCGGCGCTTGCACTACGGCGGCCCGTTGGGCATGCAGGCGCTCCGCTGCGCTCAGCGGCAGACGCCCTTGCACTCCAGGCGCAGATCCCAGAGCCGGACGAGGTAGAAGATGAGCAGGATGGGCACCGATGGGCACCGTAGAGCTAGAGAATTTCACAGAACTTTCTATGAAGTGGGTTCAGGCACCCTCAAACATTACAACCACCACGAAGAATTGGGGGACATTTCTGTATAAGGAAATTGGATCCGTCAACGATGATTTTTACATTTTGTTGCCGGATCATGCTTCGTGTTCTTCATTCCGTTCCGTCGTGCACCCGGTCGCCCCAGGCGTGTGTGGGGCACCGGCGATTTGCGGCAGATGCGTGCGGAGATGCACGACACCATCGAGGTCTGTTTGGTTCGCGCGCGCGCGCGCGCGAAGGTTTGGGGCGGTGAAGTCGGTGTGTGGATCGTGTGTTCATGGGCTCCAAGTACATCCGGAAAAGGTGTTGGGAGCCCTTCTGGCACCCGGGTCGCCCAAATAGATCATCATACATCATCATACATCCTCATCCACAATACCTTCTCAGGATCTACTTGGAGCCGGAAATTTCATGGGCGCCATTCGGTGGTTGCTCTTCACTCAAAAGCTGCGGTTGTGCCAGAGTGGTCGTTGGTGCTGGTACTGGTGGCTTCCAAGACCGAATTCAAGCCACCCATCCGAATCCAAATCCGACGAGCGACCGTTTATATTGGGGTTAGTAAACGGTTAGAGATTCAAAAGCATCGTCCTGGCAACATTGAAAGCTATCCCTCACACTCCATGCAATACTTTCAAAGTATACGTTTTTTAAAAGTATATATATGTGATATACCTCAAAAAAGGCCTAAACCAGATGCCCCCCCCAAAAAAAACATGTATCTCTAAGACTCTAAGGGGTGGAAAAAAGGAATTAAGGTATACCTCAAAACCCATCCAAACCCGGAGTGGACGTCCCCACGACGACAGTACGGAGTGCGCTCCAACGGCGGCGAGTCAGGAGTACTTCGACTCCCGGAGCACCGAGGAGCTGGCACAGGTGATTGAGGAGCTGCACCTCTCTTCCAAGGAACAGGTGCGCAATAGTATATATATAGTATATGTACATATTCATATACACATGTATTTTTACAGAACGGCAGCTCCTGGGAGTGCAGTTTTTTTCAGGTTCTTTTCATTCGCAATAGGATGCAATAGGCCTAGATTTTACTACATAAACTGCACTCCCACAGCCTGCCACTCTATTTTGACCATACATGTATAATCTCTCTCTATATATATATAGAGTCTATATCAATACACATATAGACACTTACATACATGGAGAGAAACTGTATGGCTGGCAGACCACGGGCAGAAAGAAGAAACTCCGTCCTTTTGGAGATCTTTGTTTGTGTTCGCTTGTGTGCGGGCGTGTTCTAAGGTTTGGTGAAATATGGCGTGTTTGTGCGTTTGTTTTGGTGGATTAGTGCCTTTGCATGACTGGCACAGGTTCTGACGATAATGGATATGGAAGAGACAGGGGGGTGGTACCATATATCAATATATATATATATACATAAAGCCTGTAGAAGGGTGCAGGAGGGGGTGCCTTTTGATCCGTTATAAAGCGAAAGTTGGGGACGCGGGAGCTTGCAACACTTTCCCAGGACAATGTTTGCCAACCCTGTGGGGAACCAACGTCGGCTTTCACAGCCTTCAAGCCTCAGAACTCATAACTCGGCACTTCTTGGATGCCATGTTTCCCAACAAGTGTTCTTGGTCCACTGGGACCTGGTTGAGCAGGCAACCTTCTTGCGAAAGCTCTTGGTGGCCGGCATGGAGCGGCATTTGCAGCAGGCAGTTGTTGTCCTAGATTAGAGTAGACCAGTTTGGAGAACACATTGCAACGGAATTCCGCTTGGAATCACCACCTTTTTTGCTGCAGGCGTGTAGGCTCTAGACTGATGCCCCAAATTGGTAGACGCCGGAGTCTCAATTTAATGACATGAGGATGTAACGATGTGTGCCATTTTGTTTCACGGGGGAAGCTGAGCTGAGCTGTTGTTTTTGTTCGTGCCGTTCATGTTTTTCCCGGTCTAACTTTGTTGGTTTGTATAGCAGGTTCCATCGTCAGAAGGGAACAACTGGAGGAGTTCATTTGATTTGATCCATGGTTTGGTTGTGCTCACGTGCACCCTAGCAGACCAACCAGTGATTTCAAGCGATACAACTGACAACTGGCAAGGGAGTTGCTAACCAATGATAACAGTGCTCCAACATTTGGTAAAAGGAATTGTGCAATCCACAAAAACTATATGGAATTCACGTCTAATGCCCAGTCCCAATCCAAACAGTTGCATGATGTTGGATGGCAAAAACACGCATGTCATAGACTCTTTTGGCGCTAAAATCGGTCACCCGAATCGGGACTGACGCATGTCATAGACGCGATCCACCGGTTTCATCATTCACCGGTCCAGCAGGTGGCCCTTTATGCAGCAGAGGAGCTCTTGGGCTTCTGCTGGACTGACCAGGCGGGACTAGAGCGCATGGTGGGTTATATAATGTACTGTAAGCTTTCAATATCCACCTGGCATGATGAATCTAAATGGCTATCTAAATAATGTTCAAGTGAGTTGAACCCACCAATAAGATATATATGAAGCAGTTGAGCCCATGGGACAGCTGCGAACTCCTTCAACAGGAGGTGGAAGCTGCCTTCCAGCAACTCCGTGACATTGAAGCTGATCTGGCGACGTGGCGGAACGTGCCGGCTGTTTTTCAGTCACATCCGTCATGGTCGATGGGTATCACCATCTCCCAAGTCTCCGAGAGGGTCAGCAAAGGATTCAAAAGGTCATGCATGGCAGAACCGCATCATTTTGTGGCACAATAATAGACACACACTCTGACACTTGTATTCAGTGACTCAGTTACCACGTTGGGAAGGAAGGTGATGGAACAGCAAGGCGAACAGGTCCAAAGACTTGAATGGTTGAAAAAATGTTTCACTCGCGCGGCTGGCTGCAATGCACAGGCGGCTGAAAGCTGCAGTGGGAAACCTGTTTAGGGGAAGGAGCACATGAAAAACCATGAATCAAACCAAAGGAGTGGACAGCGTGGGCAACAGTTGATTGCAGGTACGTCGGCAAGCGTCCTTGCCGATATCCTAGGATCATGTGAGGAGCTTCGTTGGATGGAGCCTCACATGTCCTCTCCATCCCCCTGCTTGTTGAAAAAGTTGGTGGAAAGGCGTGGAAAATGGCGGTGGAAACCCTTTGTCCAGGGGTGGACACACACAGGTCGCCGCGTTCGGCGCTTTTTCAAAAACCGGTGGCAGGCGTGATAGCTATGCCCCTTTTGGACATATAGATTCACGAGTTCGGCTGCAGCAGCGTCAGCGCTGGAGGGTGGAAATGTGTATTTTCGAATGGTGTGGAGTCGTGATTGGAGGCCTGATAGAGCCAAGCGCTGGCTCCCGGCGGTGGTGGAATCCCGGATTTTCCAGGGTTGAGAAGGTTGCATGTAGGTGATGGTGCGTTGTGAAAGGTCAATGTTGAAACCGAGGAGATGAAAATCCTCCACCGGTTCGAGTTCCACTGGGTCGCCAAAGAAGTTGTGGTGGATGAGGGTTTGGATAGCCGGGTGGTGAAGGAAATGTTCGTTGTGGACAATGAAGCGGTTGTCGACATAGCGATAGTAAGTAAAGTGGAGGGCTGTGTGTTGAAGGAGGTTGTTGTGGATTTGATGCCAGGAGTGCTCAATGAGGGTGATGGCAACGTTGCATAGGGCTGGAGAGAGCTGGGATCCAATCCCGGCCCCTCGGATTTGTTTGTAAGTATTGTTGCAAGCCCGGAAAATGCATGTGTTGAGGGCAAAAGCCACAATGGTGGTAATGTCGGAAGTCTGGATGGTGCGTTGGGTGGGGTGTTTCTGATGGTGTCTGCCAATGTGGGAGTGGTGGAAAGGATTGCCGGTGGCCTGGACATCCACCGTTAAGGTGTGTGTGGATTGCTGTTGTTGCCAGTGGTGGACGAGGGAGTGAACTGCGTCGATGAGTCGGTGCTGGGGAACGGAGTTGAAAAAGCCGACCAAATCATCGTTGGTGGCGTGTAGTGAGATGTCTGGTGGGGCTTGGGTGAGGTAACTGTGAAAGTGGTGCCAAAGCTGGGGAATGGACATTTGGCCTGGATGTTGAGGGTAGAGGTGTTGGAGGATGATGTCAAGGGCACGGCTGGTGATGCGTAGTAGGTTGCCACTGAGTGATTGGAAGTATGAAATGATTGTTCGGCCTTTTTGCCAGTGCTTCTTCTCCTTGAGGTGGACAACACCGTAGGGAATGTTGAAGTGTTTTCGGAAGCCCCACTTGTAGCGAGTGCGCAGGATGGGGGGGACAGTGGCGGCCAGGTGGTCGTGGATGTTGGCGGCAGTGATGTAGGGAAGTGGTTCGAAAAGTTCGGGGGATTGCCAGGTGTTCAAGGCGCCAGTGAAATATTGGCGAGGGCAAAACAGTCGAAGTTGTTGGAGCTCATGGTCGGCATGGTGGAGTAGTGTGTGTTTGCCCAAATGTTCTTGGAGTTGGCGAAGCAGGCGAGCCGTAAACCGGGGTTGTTGCTTGAGGTGTGTGTTGTGAAGGCGCCATTGGTGCTCCAGGAATGGTTGTAAATGCTGAACGAGGGATGGTGGAAGCCCTTGTATTTTGAGCCATTTTGTGTAGGCCGTCTTGAAGATGAGGAAGTATCGAGCCTTGCTTGGGTAATAGGTGCTGTTCATATTGGCGTTGAGAAAAATGCCGAGGTGTGTAGGGAGTTGGAGTTGGTCCAGTGTAAGGATGTAGTGGCCGTTGATGGTGGGGGTATCCGGATCCTGCAAGAGGGTGCGAAGGTGATCGCATGCACAAGGGAGGTCTGCTGGATCCGGCGGGGAGTGGAGGGTGTCCTCCCATGTGCGGTGGTTATGTAGGTGGGAGCGGAGGGTTTTGTGGGCGGCTTCTCTCAGTCTGTGGGAGGGGAGGTGGAGGGGAATCGTAAACTGCTTGTGCTGCTGGATGGTAGTACGAAGCCACTGCTGGCAGTGCTTAGTGAAGTCGTCGTGGGCCAAGAAGGGCACTGTCAATGGGATGTTTTGTTTTGGCGGCGTGAGATTGCGGTAGATCAGGGCTTTGTTGAGGATGTGGAGGGCTCGGCTGCGGCCAGGTTCTTCCAGGTTTGCGGCCATGCGCCGGATTGCATAGACTTCGAGGTCGGTGTGGCGGCCGCTTCGTAGCTCTTTGGCTGCTTCAAAGGAGGCTGCGGTGTGTTTGGTAAGGTTGCGAAGAAGTTGGAGGGCGTGATGTCTGGTGGAGGTGTAGAGGTGTGGTTCTCTGAGGGTGTATTGGCGTTGCCGAAGGCGTCTGAAAAGTCGTTTGTGGGTGGCTAATCTGGAGTAGAAGTGGGCTCTGTGTTTTGTGAACTGCCATCCCTGAGCTTTGAGCTTGAGGTGGTGGGAAATGAAAGGCCAGTTGAGTGGAGGCATCCAGTTTGCGATGTAGTGGTGCTCTTGGATCCAGGCTTGGTCATAGGTGTCATGGGAGGTAAGTTGGATGGTGGTGTAGTGGTGGATGTTGTTGTGTGAATGCCAGTAACGTAAGGAGAGTTCGGCAGAAATGGGGATGTTGTTTTGGAGATGTTTGAGTTTGGCGCGGCGATTGTGCTCGCGGTGGGGGATGCCAATGGCTGTGGAGCCGACATAGAAGTGGCCATGCTGATGGTAGCAGCGTTGGGGCTGGTCAGGGTTGAAGTGGAGCTTGATGTAGACTGAATTGGGGGAGAGGAAGTTGTGGTAGTGGTAGGTGTGGGGCAAAATGTGGAGCTGGCGGAGACGGTTGCGCCATTGTTGTGAGCGACGGGTGTTGGAAGGGTATGCGA